TATTAAACCTCTAAACTTGGGACTTGGCTAATCAAACAACAAAAGTACAAAACAACAAAACAACCAAACAATTGAATTAATTAATTAAACCTCTATCTCCTATTCTCCTTTACGAGCTACTGCTGCTCTGCTCGCAGTTCTCATTCTCAAACAACAAAACAACACAATTAGTATTACTACAAAACAAAACAATAATCAAAGCTAGTAAATTAGTAATAAAGTAATCTACTAATATGTATTCTGATGCTCTGCTCGGCTGCTCGCAATCATTATTCATTCATATGTAATTTGAAATTACAATTTACAACATAATTGATAATTCTTTTCTTTCATTACCCAAAGTCAAAGGCTACAGAGCCACAGCCCACACAGTTACCACTAATTCTAAAGTCTAAACTATAATTCTATAAATAATTGGTTTGCTGCTGGACCTGGACGAGACAACTCACATAGTCACATGTCTATTTTACAGGCAGGCAGTACAGACAGCGGAGAAGGGACGGTGAGCCGGAGAAGATTACCTCTAACGTTGACGAAGAGCCGGAGAAGGGACGGCGACGGTCTCACGGAGTTCAACGGACAGCGGCGTTGGGAGGAACTTGCCGGGAACAGAGCCTGGATTTGGGCTGCTGTCTGCTGGCTTCGACGGGGTTCGACTAGGGCTGCCAAACGGGTTCGACGGCTGGCTTCGACCAACGACGATGAACAGGGTTCGACGGGGTTCGAGTTCGACGGCTGGCTACGACCAACGACGATGAACGGAGGAGGATGGATCGGCGGTCGTGGCCTCGTGGTTTGATTGGGATCGGCTGGCTTAGATCGGCGGTCGTGGGCTCTTTGTTACTCGTTAGGGACTTAGGGGTTTTTTAGGACGCTATTATGAACTTATGATTTGATTTTATTGATTTATGACGATCCGGATCCGCTGATGAAAAATTGAAAATCAACTTCCCATTCGGTGTCGGAATCCCGAGCTGCCGACGGTAAATGACTAGGCCGGTCCCGGCATACCGCCACGCTAAGTAATCCCAGCCGATTACCGTTATTCTCGGTTACCGGTTTAACCGGTTACCGCGGTTACCGCGGTTACCGTACCGGTAACCGGTTAAACCGGTAACCGCAAACCGGTTTGGCAGCCCTACTTCCCACATATGTTCGCCCTCGGACTTCAATAGTTACGGAACTTCATACCACTACGGAAGGGAGGGAGAGACGATTTGAAGTGGTAGTCGAAAAGCCTCAATTTTTACAAGCAGAGTGGAGGATGCATGGTGAGCTCGGAATCCATGGTGGCTTCATCAATCATCTTCCCCAAATCGACAATCAGAACATCAGCGTCAGAAACGATCGATGGGGCGACGCCTATTTCGGTCCTTATCAACTCCTGGACGGAAGGGAGCAAAGAGCTACCGAGGATGGTGACCGGATCTCGTTGCATTCAATTCCGCTTCTTTTCTTCTGGTTCGTTTCGAGTTATTAGGCTGCGGTTGGGTTTTCAATATGGAGTTAGCTGTCGCTAGTGATTGTTTGCAGGCTTTCCGACCACCATTATTAAGAGAGGGGGAGATATACAAGGACTTTGCCGGTTGCGCCTTCCAAATCTCCAACTTTTCAAATCTCTAAATCTTCAATGGCGGTCGGAGGAGAATGCGGCTAGCTAGGGTGGTGTGGGCAAGATGAAGAACACAAATGAAAAAAGAGGGGTTAATTGCATGATTGGTCACTGACATTACAAAAACCGTTCATGTTTAGTCACTCGAAATATTTAAATCCATTTTTGGTCACTAACTTTACAAAAATCGTTCATTTATGGTCACTCTCCGTTAGCTGCCGTCCAACGCCGTTAGCGGCGTTCGTTAAGTGGTGACGTGGCTGACGGATTCGTCTAATCATCACCTTTTAACCCGAAAATTGACTGACCCGACCCACCACGTCATTTAAACCCTCCATGTGAGCCAAACCTAACCAAACCAGACCAGATCCGACCCCTAAATAAAGAACTTACCCGACCCACCAATTAATCTACCCACCTTTGACTAAAACCCTAATCAAAGACAAATCCATCTGCCTCCATCCCGCGCCGCCTTCCTCCCTTTCGTTTTTCTTCCTCTCCAACTCTGATCGCCAATTCGCCGGCGACGAAGGAGGAATGGAGTTCGCCAACGCAGTCACTTTCCTCCCATCGAGGACGATTTTGGAGAAACCGTGAGACGACGAGGGGCAGTGAGATGGAGAGGAGTAACTGGCGAGGACCGGGGGCTGGTTGTAGGTGAAGCCGAAAACGTGCTGGAGAACGATGTGCTTGCAGGGCTCTGTTTTGGGGAGTGGGATGGGCTTTGTTACTTCGAAGAAGACGGTTGGGGACACGGCGGCGGAGGATTGGGCGGAGGAGAGTTCGTCGTCGAGTGGCGGCGGGCTGCGTAGGGCAGATTTGAGGAGGGGATTTGTGTTGAGTTTGTGAAGATTGGCTGTAGAAGAGTAGGATTGGTGGAGTAGTAAGTGGACAAGAAGCAGAGCGAAGCAAGAAGAAGAAGGTATCATTGTTGGTTTTTTTGGGTTTGGGAATCGGAAGATTTTGAATGGTTTTGGTTTTGCTGTTCTAGTAGTTGGAGGCAAGAACAAGATGGCTAAGGTCAAGAAGAAGAAGACGCAAAAGCTGCTTATAGCATTAGCCGCACTGAAGCAACGCAGTCGTCGGCGAATTGGCGATCAGAGTTGGAGAGGAAGAAAAACGAAAGGGAGGAAGGCGGCGCGGGATGGATTTGTCTTCGATTAGGGTTTTAGTCAAAGATGGGTAGATTAATTGGTGGGTCGGGTCAGTTCTTTATTTAGGGGTCGGATCTAGTCTGGTTTGGTTAGGTTTGGCTGACATGGAGGGTTTAAATGATGTGGCGGGTCGGGTCAGTCAATTGTCGGGTTAAAAGGTGATGATTAGGCGAATCCGTCAGCCACGTCATCACTTAACGGACGCCGCTAACGGCGTTGGATGGTAGCTAACGGAGAGTGACCATAAATGAACGGTTTTGTAAAGTTAGTGACCAAAAATGGATTTAAATATTTCGAGTGACCAAACATGAACGCTTTTTGTAATGTCAGTGACCAACCATGCAATTAACCCGAAAAAAGAGTGGTTGGATGGTGATTTTTTTTTTGGGAACAACCTTTCATTAATTGTAATTTAAACTTTGTAATAGTAATTTTTATATGTAGCACATACGTGGACAAAACATAAGTGCCATGTCATCGGTTCTCAAACTTAAATCGATTACTGTTAGGTCAACTGAAATTTGCATAACACCATGGTTGTCATGCCGGTGGCATGCCACCCGGTTGAAGTTTTGTAATACAAATGACAAAGTTGGTAAAAGTTTGTGAATAAGCTATGTGTATTTAGATGCGTAAACATTAAATTTACTAAGTGATTAGCGATATACACAATTTAGTGTGATATTATTTGAAACAATCTTAATCAAATAAGATTAATCTCAATGATCTCAATGGAGCCTCAAGATCTTCTACTGGAGATAAGATGTAGAACAAGTTTAAAATTCTAAGGACACAATATTTTTTACAGGGTTTGAATTTGATGCAATGCTTTACTTCCCCCTGAGGCCAATGTAGTAGGCTGATCTTATTGCAAGTTAACTTCAAGATGATTCTGCTTAGGTGAGAATCAAACCTTTCACAATGACGAGGAGCTTAAATCTTCAAAACCTATCTTCTAATCCACAATCCTAAACACACAACGTTTAAATAAAGAACAAAGAGACAAACTCTTAATCCATTTCTCAAAGCACACTAAGGTTTATCACAGTTGATGACCTAGAGGCATTTGTTCTTTATATAAAAGTTTTCTTTCCATTCACTAAAAAACTGCACTTATTTCATCCATATTTCTTGTTTTTATAATCTCTGTTTTATTTAAAAACACTTTACGTTAATTCATCCTGACTTATTTATGCAATCACAAGGGTTGACATGGAAAATAAATAATATGAATCTTTCGAGGCATTACCTACTTCCAATTTGGGCATTTCACTGTAAAAGGTGAGTTTTGATCAATCTGCTTCTATGTTTGGTTTAGGCCAGGAATGAAAAATTTCCAACACGTTAGACCTATATAGTTTTTTTTAGATAAGGGTGATAGTTAGACCTATATAGTTAAGCCTTTCGTGATATTAGAAGTAGAAAAGGGATAAAAATGATATGATTTAATGGTTGAGAATGAAAGAGAATTTTTGAAATTTAAAATTTAAATAAAATATTAGATTAAAGATAGTTTCTTAGGGTATTGTTTGTTGAGTTGAAGAACAAAAAGACAATCATGAAAAAGTCTTTTTTGGGAAATAGGATGTAAGGATTGATATGACGGTGCAACAGATGATTCAAATGGAGTATTTAGATGGGTTTCTTCGATTCTGATAAAAATATTCAATATATTTTGGACCCTTGGGTCACTTAATAATGCATTTAATGATTGATATCAGTTTGATTATTGGTTTAGTCCTCGTAAAAAAAACTCATTGGTTTAGTGAGTCTTTTCAACAATCACGCGCCACACAACTAAGATCACTAATACTTTCTGTTTTATGTGTAAAGCTATCATCACGTTACTGACGCATGGTTACTGTTAGTCTTATTATTTTAATTCTCACCCACATCCTTAAGTAGTCAAACAAGTGTATGGCAAATGGAAATCACCAAAGCTTCATGTTTCATTGTCATAAAATAGAACTAAAGATTGAGAGTAAGAATCGAGTTGTCACAAAACTGAAAAGAAAACAAAAATAGGAAGTGTAAAAAGAAAATTAAGTAAAAATGAAAGGAGAGTGAATGACGGAGAGTGAATGAAAGGGAGAGGGTACAAACACAAGGAGGTGCAAGTAGTTCGGGAGTTTGAAAGAACCATTCCCCCACAAATTCTAAAATTAGATACTAAAAAATAATTCTAGGGGAGGTGGTTATAAAAAAGAGCAACTAACAATGCAAACAAATCACCAAATCTCTCTCACTTGTCTTCCTTCCCATTGCCTTCTCTAATGTTGTGTATTTAAGCAAAGGGAGCTTCCCTGACCCATAAGACGCCAATAGTGCGACAACAAAGAATAAAACACCCATCCCAACTCAATAAAACACCACATTTGTGTACGTAAAAAGAAAAAAAGAAAAAAGGCACAAAACAACACAAAAGTTAAAAAGAGAATAAAGAGAGTGGCTGCTGCTGGGTACAAAAAAACAAGAGACAACGATGGCTATTAGCTTGGAGGAAATCAAGAAGGAGAATGTTGACCTTGTGAGTCAATTGATAACAAATGTGTAACATGTCCTCAGTTTCTGTGTGCATGAGTGATTTCTAACATTAATACTAATGTGTGTACATATAGGAGCGGATTCCGGTTGACGAAGTGTTTCAACAACTACAATGCTCAAGGAGCGGCTTGACATCTGATGAAGGACAGAAGCGACTTCAAATCTTCGGGCCCAACAAGCTCGAAGAGAAGAAGGAAAGCAAGTTCCTCAAGTTCCTTGGCTTCATGTGGAACCCTCTTTCATGGGTCATGGAGATTGCAGCCATCATGGCCATTGCTTTGGCCAACGGAGGAGTACGTTGCATATTTATCCTAATTCATTCATTTTTTTCATGATCCGAATGGGTGAGAGCAAATGTGATGGAGCCATTTGAGTGACTTCTCAAATATTTTTGCAGGGCCAACCACCAGATTGGCAAGATTTTGTTGGTATCGTGACACTCCTCATCATAAACTCCACTATAAGTTTCATCGAAGAAAATAGTGCCGGCAATGCCGCAGCTGCTCTCATGGCAGGTCTAGCTCCCAAGACCAAAGTATTAAGAGATGGGAAATGGGCGGAGCAAGATGCCGCCATCTTGGTGCCTGGTGATGTCATCAGCATTAAATTGGGTGACATTGTCCCCGCTGATGCTCGTCTCCTCGAAGGCGACCCTTTAAAGATTGACCAGTCTGCCCTTACCGGAGAGTCCTTGCCTGTCACCAAAAACCCAGGCGATGAAGTTTTCTCTGGCTCCACCTGTAAGCAGGGTGAGATTGAAGCCGTTGTCATCGCCACTGGAGTCCACACCTTCTTTGGAAAGGCTGCTCACCTGGTTGACAGCACTAACCAAGAAGGACATTTCCAAAAGGTTAATTTAAACCATCATAAATTAATATCCACCACCTATTTCTTGAAATTCTTGAACAAATTGATAATTTTGTTTTTGTTTTTTGCAGGTATTGACGGCCATTGGGAACTTCTGCATCTGCTCGATCGCATTAGGTATGATAGTTGAGATCATTGTAATGTACCCAATTCAACATAGAAGGTATAGAGACGGAATCGACAACCTCCTAGTGCTTCTCATTGGAGGAATTCCGATCGCCATGCCCACTGTGTTATCAGTGACGATGGCTATCGGATCCCATCGTCTCTCACAGCAAGGCGCCATCACCAAGAGAATGACAGCTATTGAGGAAATGGCTGGGATGGACGTCCTATGCAGTGACAAAACTGGAACTCTCACTCTTAACAAGCTCACGGTCGACAAAACTCTAGTCGAGGTCTTTGTGAAGGATTGCGACAAGGAACAACTATTGCTTCTTGGAGCCAGAGCATCCAGGGTTGAGAATCAAGATGCAATTGATGCTTGTATTGTTGGGATGCTTGGTGACCCCAAAGAGGCCAGAGCTGGAATCCAAGAGATCCATTTCTTACCTTTCAACCCAGTTGACAAAAGAACTGCTATTACCTACATTGATGGACAGGGAAACTGGCACAGAGTTAGCAAAGGTGCTCCAGAGCAAATCATTGAACTTTGCAAACTTTCTGAAAGTGCTAAGAAGAAGGCTCTTGCCATCATTGACAAGTTCGCTGACCGTGGCCTTCGCTCATTGGCTGTTGGCAGACAAGTAAATATCATTGCCAGTAAAAATTCATTTCATTTTTTATATCCATACTATGACTAAGTGATTTTTTCATTGTTCTTTTTGTTTCCAGACTGTGTCAGAGAAGACCAAGGAAAGCGCTGGAGATCCATGGCAATTCGTTGGTCTATTGCCCCTCTTTGATCCACCAAGGCATGATAGTGCCGAGACCATTAGGCGAGCTCTCCACCTTGGTGTTAATGTGAAAATGATCACTGGTGACCAGCTGGCCATCGGAAAAGAGACAGGGCGCAGGCTTGGTATGGGAACCAACATGTACCCATCCTCTGCTCTACTTGGAGAACACAAGGACGAGTCTATCGCTACCATTCCGGTGGACGAGCTTATCGAGAAGGCTGATGGGTTCGCTGGGGTGTTCCCGGAACACAAGTATGAGATAGTGAAGAGGCTTCAAGACATGAAGCACATATGTGGTATGACAGGAGATGGTGTGAATGACGCTCCAGCACTGAAGAGAGCAGACATTGGGATTGCTGTGGCTGATGCAACTGATGCAGCCAGGGGTGCCTCAGACATTGTCTTGACCGAGCCAGGGCTAAGTGTGATTGTAAGTGCAGTGCTCACCAGCAGAGCCATCTTCCAAAGAATGAAGAACTACACAATTTATGCAGTCTCCATCACAATCCGTATCGTGCTTGGATTCATGTTGATTGCGCTCATATGGAAATTTGACTTTTCACCCTTCATGGTTCTCATCATCGCCATCCTCAATGATGGGACAATCATGACCATCTCCAAGGACAGAGTGAAGCCGTCCCCATTGCCTGATTCTTGGAAGCTCAAGGAGATCTTTGCCACAGGAGTTGTTTTGGGGACATACTTGGCCATCATGACCGTTCTCTTCTTCTTTGGCGCTTATGGATCTGATTTCTTCAGCGTAAGACATAAAAATGAAAAACAAAAAACCATATAGTTGATGTTACACTGATCCTAATAAATGAATTTGTATTCAACTCAATTTGCAGGAGAAGTTTGGAGTGAGGTCAATCCGACATAGCCCAGATGAGTTGACAGCAGCTGTGTATCTCCAAGTGAGCATTGTGAGCCAAGCTCTCATCTTTGTCACTCGCTCCAGAAGTTGGTCCTTTGTCGAGCGACCTGGCGTTATGCTTATGATCGCTTTCCTGATTGCACAATTGGTGAGTTGATTGATCACCCACTTCGCTCCACTTCGCTGCACTTCGCTTCACTTTGATTTTTATAGATATCCATGGAGATCTTGATACTTGTGATTAATTATGTACAATGTTTGGTTGGTGTAATAATAGGTGGCAACTTTGATAGCCGTTTATGCCAGTTGGGGATTTGCAAGGATCAAAGGGATCGGATGGGGATGGGCTGGAGTCATTTGGCTTTATAGCCTTGTCTTCTACTTCCCTCTTGATATTCTCAAGTTTATTATCCGATATGCATTGAGCGGCAAGGCTTGGGACAACCTCGTCCAAAACAAGGTACACTAACTTAAACTTTGTCGGTTCCTATTATAAAACTAAATGTGTTTGGAAGAAAAAGTTGCTAATTAATGGTTTCGGGTGTATTGTACACCTGTAGACTGCTTTCACAAACAAGAACGACTTTGGAAAAGGAGAGAGAGAGGCACAATGGGCAGCAGCCCAACGCACCTTGCATGGGCTCCAGGCAGCAGACACGACAGAGTTGTTTGCTGACAAAAACAACTACAGGGAGCTCTCTGAAATTGCTGAGCAAGCCAAGAGGCGTGCTGAGGTGGCAAGGCTGAGGGAGCTTCATACTCTCAAGGGACATGTTGAGTCGGTTGTGAAGCTCAAGGGTTTGGACATTGAGACTATCCAACAACACTACACCGTCTGATCTACGTCGGGTGTTTACTAATTGCGCTGTTTGATTGGGAGAAAAGATTGCCGTTGAGTGGGAGCTAAATGCCCTAAGAAGTTTTGAGTGCATCACCTCGTTGATCAAACAGAGTATTAAGTAGGATTTTCTTTTAGAATAAATGAAAAAGCTGGATACACTTTTTACTATTCTTTATGATGTAATAGTTTTAAGGAATAATCCATTTATGAGATTGGACATAATATGTATGTAACAATCTTGGGTTTGGAAACTGTATTATTTCATTAAGATAGTAGTAAGATTTCTATTTTTTCCCTTATATTCATACTCTCGCAGATTCAAATTCCTTCTCTCAATTTTATGATAATTAGTTAAGATATAAGTGAAACATTTAACCATTAGAAACTTAGACTCTAAAAATAATAAATCTCATCAACGTGACCTATTGTAGTTTTCCTTATATATGTTAGAGAATAATTAACATTAGTTTAACTGAATCTCACTAAATACAATAAAAAAGAGAGAAAACCCTTACTCAACAGAAGAAAAACCATTAATCATTTTCAAGTTAAAAATGAAACAAAACAATGTCTTACTAATAAATGAGTAATTTTTTTAAAAGGGTTAGTAAATTAGCTTGTCAGATCACAAATCAAGGGGGAGCAGATCAATCAATCAAGATATCAATTGCCAGCTGCTCAACCTACCCTTTCTGCATCAATTTCAAACCACAACGGCTCCTCGAAGAACTATTTAAAGAAGCAGCAGGACAAGGGCTCGGTACTGAAGCAAACAGGGATTCCTTTGTGGCAAAGGACAAGGGGTTGGGTTTGGGAATCAGTGGCTTTGATTCAAGCTGAGGAATAGGTTCAGCTTGATCAAAGGGTGTATAGAATTCCTGCGAGAATTCTGGTCCAAGTCTAGTGACATTTTGATTTTCTCACCAAGCGTCTGTATTTAGTTTGTTCTGTTCTTGTTGTCTGCGTCATAAAAAGAAAATCGAAGTGTCTCTCAGGATAGTGGTACTATCCTGAGACGAGGAGTAGCCCTGTGGCGAACCTCGTTAAAAATCGGTTGTGTACTTTTCTTTCTGCACTTTCTTTCTCCTCTCTTCCTTCCCTGTTCTGCTTCTATTTGGCTGAACAGAGTCTTGGCTCTGTAAAGAAGATGATCGACTATGTTCCTTCTTCACTGAGCTTGGGCCGAGACTAGTTCAAGTTTCGGATCAGCATACTTGGATCTGTGGGCTTGTTCTAGTAAAGCCCATTCTTGTAACTTCTGTAAGTTGGGGCTTGACCGAGAGGTTTCAACCGGTTTGGTTGTTTAGTTGACTCTTAAGTAAAATTCCCTAATCGTGTATTCTCGTTCCATTTCTTTCATTCGACATTTCCTCTTTCACAAGATCTCTCTCTGTTTACAATTAGCAAAGTTTGTTTTCATGTTGTTCTGCGTTTGTTTTGAATACAATGCACATTAATCTATTGACGTTCATTTTTATGTATGTTTTAAGAGAAATCTTTACTTTCATTAAGTGCATATATTAGGTATTATTTAACATGGTTTTATAAGTTATTTGGTATTTTCTAGCTCCATCAGTAAAGTAAGTCGAGCACTTTCTTCAATTATTCAAGGGCAACTTCTAGAAAAAAACAATAAACTTAAATGGTCAAAATTACGAATGAAAATAAATTACTCACATATCATATATATACTTTAAAGTTGAGTATACTATACTCATACAAAAGTATCAAACTCTCCCGCCAACGAACGGGCCCTGTGCTAGTTGTAAGTATAATCTAGTAGGGAAATAAATCAAAAGATATTCCTCTCTCCCATACGTGTATCTCTGTCTCTCTCCCTTTGTAACGTCTAGTCTACGATAGGGTCAATAACCTTTGGTTGTGTATTTATATATAATCAGATCTCGCCCCTTGATTTGAAGTGGTGACAAATATGAGGGCTGAAACTATTTTTTTATTAAAATTTCCCTTCTTTTTAATTGACTTTTATCTTTTTTGTTTTAATTTGAATTTCAAAAATCCGACACAGACGGAGCATGTTCATTGTGATCTATAAAATGACATCTATTTTCAATTAATTTTGCAAATTTTTCATACCACCCATACACTTGTTACCACCCTGGAACCACTCCGTACCACCTACATTTCACTCAAACTTTGAAATTTTTTGCCAAGCAGAAACATGTTATGGTGATCTATAATATACACAAATTTATGTGGAAAAAATTTCAAGACCAAATACCACCCTGTTTAGGGTGGTAACTGGTGGTAGACGGTGATAAAAGTAGTAGATGACAGTTAATATATTCCTATTAACATGTATATGACCATTCTACACTATGGTATATTTATACCACCATGAGACACTTTCATACCACCATGTTATAATCATATCTACTATCAAGCATTACCACCGTGGTATGTACTTGTAATCAATGTCTTAGTTTTTTTCCCAAAGTATAACAAAGTGGATTACGGATGGTAATTATCGCCATGGGTATCTTTGCCCAAACCCAATTTACCCATCTACTATGGGTAGGGTATGGACATATGGGTTCGGGTAGTGCTTGAGTAGGTGGAGTTAGTTTTGGATTTTGTTTTCAATGTGAAATGGGTATGGATACCTATCACTTTGGACATGCTTGTAAATCTTTATTATGTAATTTTTTTAAAGGTATAAAAATATAATTTCCCATACATAATATTGAACCTGTTTGTATTCTTTTATAAGGATGATATAGGTTTACATTTTGTGGTTAATATAATACATAAGGGATTCAAACCTAAATCCTCTAAGTTCAAGGATAGTGGTATTACCACTAGACCAACATCATCTCGTAGGATACCCCACCAAAACCAACTAGTATCGCTTCTAAAACTCGGTTTTTGCCAAGGATAGGACACTTCACACTTGGCTTTTACCCCACATTTTATTTGTGGCAACGTCTTTTGATTTGGACTTGTCGTGGTAGGATTTCGAATGTATGAAGCTATATTTCGACCCCCTTTTTTAGCTTTAAGCTTATAAGACTCCTTCTTTTGAGGAGAAGTTTGAGAACTCGAAAAGGATGGTAAGAAGCACCAATCTGTATGTTTTAAAGATAAATCCAAGTCTCATGACAAACACATCCTTCATAGCCTTTCTAAGTCACGTATCAACGGAGAGACTAGCAATTCAAAGTATGATGAACTTCGAATTTGCTTCAGGGGTGTGATGAAGCTACATTACGCATTATCACCTTCATGAGATAAATCATAATGTTGTTCACATCAATATTGTCCTTGGTTATTGTAGGTTGGCTGATGTTGGGCCGGATATCAGCCGCCCTGGTCAAAAGTAGTTGGCCAGGTCCAAATCACCTCTGGTTTGGCTCAACTGTTCTAAACAGGAGGCAGTGAGGGGTCCCAGAAGCAGGATACTTCGAAAATAAGGCACCCTGACATGCGAAATCGAAGGGATTTAGGCGTCCGGGACGCTGATTTTTGATTCCTTAGGAATACACAGGGACTGACTCGACATGAAAGAAAATCAACAGAATCATAAGAAGATGATAGACGATGGCACACACCCAAGGCAAATTCGAAGTTCGTCATACTTTGAATCGCTAGTCTCTACTACAATATGCAATCTAAGGAAGGCTAGTGTAGGGGCTATTAAGGATGTCCTTGTCGTGAAACTTGGATCCATCTTTAAATAAAAACTTGCAAATTGGTGCTTCCTACCATTCCTTTCAAGTTCTCGAACTCCTCCTCAAAGGAAGGAGTGTTCTACGCTTAAAGCAAAAATGGGATCGATATGTATCTTCATATCATCGATATCCTACCACGTATAGTCTACATCAATAGACAATGCCGCCGCAAATAAAGTGTGGGGAAAAGGCCAAGTATGAGGTGTCCTATCCTTGGAACCCCCCCCCCCCCCCGGGTTTTGGAAGCTACACTAGTTGAGTCTAGGTGGGGCAGGCCTACGAGATGATGTTGGCTCCTCTCTAGTATAAATAGAATTGTCACCCATATGATAGGATTGTCAACTTGAGGATGTGTTTTCAAGGACACGGATAAAGATTCTGACACCCCTTGACTTCATTGACACTTCTCCGTACGATTAAGGAAAAGAAGCTAAAACTGTTCTTGCTTGATCAGGCTTGCCAGCGTGGTGTCGTGGACCCTCCGGGCTACGAATTTTGTAGGAAGGAGACGCGGCGGAGAAGATTCTGGCGAAGAGCTAGGGTTTTCAGATGATATTTTTACATTTTTTAAACCTAAATAAATGATGTGGCATCCAAGTTTGAGCCAACTTAGCATTTGATGTTGAGTCATAGACGAGATAAATTTTTACTGTCATTGTTAACGATCAACATAAATTTCGGTCCAAATCTATCCATTAATTTGAAAATTGGCTATAATTGTCTTAATGGAAAATTCTTGCCAAACTGTCATTTGAGTCAAATGTCGGGCCAAAATAGGGTATTAACCCTATTTTAAAAATATACAATAAAATTTTTAAATGAGTAATTGTCATATTATAATGTTATGATAGTGATAGTATTACAACCAACACGTGTTTTGAAAATTGAACTTTTATTTTCTCAAATATAGAAAAATGGATATAACTATGTAAATTATAATTAATGCATTTTTATGCAAACTATTTCAATTTCAAGTTTAAACAAATGATATAAGATTCCACTAAGAATAACAGGGGGATTACATAAAGTATGCTTTGACTTGTTCACAGTGTTTTCTCTCTCTTCTGTAAGTTTGAACTTGATGGGCCTGACCCCCGTACCATATTATACTGGCAACCCTCGAAAAAGTTCGGGAAGCAACTTACATCATCAACCGCTGTTAGTGATTTTATCCGATCTTAGTAAAAATCCTATTGCAAGAAGGAGAAGGTGGTTGTCAGTAGGGGTGGAAGTTTGGTTTGCGGATTGCGGGTAATCCGCAAACCGCACCAAACCGCATACATTGTGGTAACCATACCCACAATTTGTGATAGTGGGTTGGGTGTGAGTAGCAAAATATTGATTTTTGTGGTTAGTGGTTAACCACAATCTACAACGGTTAACCCACAAAATCCACAATAACCACACTAGGTATATATATTTATTAATAACACTTTATAATATTAAAGTATGTGAAAAGTAGAATGCTACAAATTAAAGTAGGCTCCAAAATCAAATATATACTTATTTTATAAAACAAAACCAAATATATACTTTCGTATGAGATAATTTTATTAAATAAACATTGTCCGCGTGGTATATGTTTATTTTATAATAAAACAAAGCCAATAAATGTGGTTTATAGTTTATTTAACACTTTATTAACTTTCTTTTATGTAGGTTTTTGTTTTTGTGTAAGAAGACGCTAATTCCGCAACTCGGTAGAGAATTCCATTTATCCCTAAAAAATTCAAATAAAAAAGCAAATGAGTCATGCCGAATTCAATTTATCCCTAAAAAATTCGAATAAAAAACCAAAGGAGTCATGCCGCTGATAAAGGTTCTATGTATTTTTACTTTTTAGATTAGATCCCCTCCAACCCATACTCCTTAGCAATCTGCATTTCTTAAAGAAAGTGAAGTGACCTGTAAGCGAGTGAAGTGAACCGAGGAAAGGGAGTTTGACTACTTAGGAGGTTCTGAATATCGGATCCTCGTTCGTTCCATGTATTGGATTTCTTTACTTAGTTTTAACTCAATGTGTGTTTTTTTCTGTCACTCGACCGATAGGGTTATCATATACGAGTCTAAAGGTGAAGGAACGAAATTTTTTGTGGATATCCACATCCAACCGCACCAACCCGCAGTGGGTAGTGGTTAACCACTACCCACTACGGGGCGGATTGTGGGTAGCATAATTCTTTATTTGTGGGTGTGGTTACCCACAAAATGTAGGGCGGGTAATCACACCCACCCCAATTTCCACCCCTAGTTAACGGTGGAAAATAAAAAATAAAAAATAACTACGTGAAACATATTAAAAGTTCGCGTGCGTAGGTTTCAACCAGGAAATCTGCCATGCCTGTCACTGCAGCTCGGTTTACTTTATTTGCTTTAAATATGAGTTGTTAAGGCATTACCAAAGAGTTAATCAAAATGATGTAAAAAAAAAAAAGAGTTAATCCAAATGATCAAGACACAGTTCAATAAAAAAAATCTAAATAATATTCTGCCCAAACCTCTTGATTCTTCCTACACAGCTCAAGGCATGACAGTCGACAGATATCATCAACCCAGCAAAGGCTTTTACAAAACAAGCACTATTCAAAATGAGTAACAGGGCCCATAGATACAGAGATTGAATAAGAGTGTTTGCACCCGCTACTTGTTCTCTTCAAGGTTAGTCTGTGAACCAGTGCTACCACCATTTTTGCAGCCAGTTCACCCATGCCTACTTCATCTTGACAAGTTAGAGAGAAACCCACTTGAGATTGTCACTGGCTCGTGGGGTTGTACTCTCCATCCGTTTTCGGTTTCTTGTGGTTATTCTTCCTTCTTTTACTCTTGGACTTTCCTTCTGAGGGGAAGTAACCAAGCTGCTTTAAATACCAGATAGCTCCTGAAGTCGCATGCTCCGTTGCCGCTTTCTTTTTGGGCATGGGATCACTAAAACACTCCAAGAACGTAGTGGATGCTGCTTCTTCAACCGGGATCTCGACTATAACCTTACAGGTAAACCTACGAGGAAAGTAAGCAGGTCATTAGTCATGTCACAATCTTGATTGCATATCATTTTAGCATACTGTAGTCTACTTACCGTATCATTTGGGAAGGATCTTGCTCCAAGGAGTATTCATATTCAGGGAGCTTCCACTTGTTTGCAGAACAAACTTTATGCAGCACACCTTTAGATGATATCACTTTTGCCTCACCTAGGAGGAGAATATATACATGAATCACAAAGACTAATCTTAAGGTCGTAACCATTAAAGTTCGCTACATGTATTGTGGCAGGCATATGACATGTCAAGAGTTACATGCAGACTAATAGCATGAGATCGATCTCGCCGAATATCAGAGGGGAGTTGATACAGATGGATCCGACTCTATTTTAAAAAACATCAAGTCAATACTTTGTCTTTGTAGAAGCTAAGTGCAGCAGGAGGATACCATTAGTGGCGCTCAGAATCTGTGAAGAACTTTCTTTCTCGGATATTCCAGGGCCCAGAACTTCCAATTCTGAGGTAGAGAAAAGACAGGGGGATTATATAACATCGTCTTATCAGGCTACCATTACTGAAGCCAAATACAACCTTAACAAGCATTTCCATGAACATTCATGGAAATGCAGTCAACCAATCTTGTTAGGATAACAAATATGACAGACCACATTTAATAAGGCATCATCTTTAGGATGATTTCAATGAACCCTGAACAGGTTGTAAGCCAACCGGCAACTTTAGTATTGAGAGGCGCACATATCAGAGCTATGGAGCTGAAACATTTTCTTATCAGCCTGAGAAATAATCATCCTAACTCGAATCGGCCAATTCAACTGAATCTAAAGCCTTCTCTTGAAACGTGATAGTCATATTTCACTATCCCAAACCTTAATCATCTATCTGTTAACCATGAACCCTAATAACCAGCAGAAGCCGCCAACCGTTCACGCAGAGAATTCAAACACAGAAGGCATATGAAAGCAACCCCGCATGAAGAATCAATCTAAAAATTCTATTTCCATTCAAATTAACCTGGGGGATCGTGTGTCGGTGCAGTAGCTTCAGCGCCACCAGCACTCTCGGCCATAACTGCGTCCTGGGTCTTGACTGAGTTGCTGCTTATGTACTCATGCGTCTCCTGCTTCGCGTGGGCGAGTAGACCTGTTTCGGTATTCGCTTCATCGTCCAACTTGTTCGATTCAGTGAGATTCAGATTCATCATCGTTTGGGGAAAATGTTCCATTCATCGGTTGATAAACGACACGCATGAGGAACAGTGAAATCGGCCGAACTATGTTGAGAACAAAGAAGGGAGAGTGGTAGGGGGCAGAACATGACGGAGAAATGGGGGAAAAAACAGAGTGATGGGCTTACGGTTTACCTGGAGCCACACTTCAAGAATGAATCTAATCTGTAAAATGGATTGTTTGATCACAGACTCGCAGTACGGCAAAGCTTGGAACCGAGCACTGGCAATTGATATTGTTTATCAGATGGTTCAACGGTCGGATTTAGGCGACACAGATGCGGAAGAAGCCCGAAAGCCGCAGCAGCCAGCAGGTGAGGTAATGCTGACCTCCATTTAATTGCTCTTTTACCCAGGCTTTGGTCAAATTTCTAGTAGTTTATACTTTTAGTGGTCGTGTGCTTCAAGAATTTGGACGTGGGATTTGGTTCTCAAATTCAACACATGAATGATTTGTCCAAAATCCATTGCTTGTTGAGCCAAAATGGAGGGTACCAAATCTGTGGGGTCCACTGATTTGGGGCTCCAAATCCGTGGGCCCCATGGATTTGTAAATCCCACCTCATACCCTGGGATTTGGAGACAAGCTGAAAAATCATCAAATCCATGATAAAAATAGCTCAACAAACAAAAGATTTCCTCGAATCCATAATGCCCAAGGTTTTTAATTAGCAAATCCATGACAAAATCCTCGTTATAAAATCCTTGAAGCAAACGAATTAATTGAAAGGAGTGCTAACTGCTAATGGGCTTTTTACAAAAAATATAAGTGTTTTTGAAGAGAATTCTTCAAAATATTGCTATCTAGAAATTAGAAAGCAACTAGGATAATATCACTACAAAATCTTAACTATTCAAAAAATTCTAATTTCAGTACTAAACTATTTAATATGATAATCCTAACACAAACTATTTTTCTATTAGTGTTCACCATTGTTGACCGTTAGTATTTAATAGAAAATCCTGTCAGCATCGATTGGGATGGGAATATGTGAGATTTTTTATATTATAATTGAAAGTATATATTTTATTTTAATTGATTTTTTAATAAAAAATATAATATCGTCGAGCTCTCTAAAATACTCCTCCACGTTCCTTGGACCTTGTCGAATCCCATGCAGAGACTCGTAGAGCTCACGCTGGTAGTAAGCAGGTACGAATCGGTCTCGCATGATTCCGCGCAGGTCGTCCCACGTTGTTACCGGATTTTGATTATTTCGCCATCGGCAAAGCTGTAGCTTAGTCTGAAAATTCATAAGTAGCCATTACTACTTTTTGGGCCTCATTGAATTGGCCACATGAAAGAAAAGGATGATTTTCCTTTCACAGACGAGGTACGATGAAGGGTTCATCACCCCTGAAACGACGGCACGACAAGTTTGATTCCCGGCGGCACTGCCGCCTCCACTTCCTGCTGTCGTTCACGCCGATCGCGATGCTCATATACAGATTGTTGGCCTTGGAATTGGTTTTCCTTTTTGGCTTATTTAAGAGCAAATATTGCTTTGTGCAAATATGGGATCCCAAAAACATCTCCTTGTGGGAACTGTTTACAAAGCTGCCTTCCTGTGTCGGCTACATTGATGATGTATAGCAAGCTATAAAAAATTATTGAGGTTACTAATTGCTGTATCCAATCGAGTAGCAACTTTTTGTTGCGATCCCAGACAACAAAGTGTACAGAATCAACGAAAGGCTTGAGGATTCTTCCTTTAAGAAAAACTAGCTTGTTCTTGCCATCAATAGCCAATGTCATAGAACACTCTCATGCAACATAGTTACCTTTATTTTGAACTAGGTGATTCTCTGTCGCGCTTTGCTGCGGCTTTTTATAAGAATTAGATGTATTGTTTGTTAACTCGTATTTGATTTGTTACCGCATTTAGCAGATTTCCAATAGAAACTCCTATCGAAATCTAAATTTGTTAGTGATATTACCTGTATGAAATGATTTAATCATGATTGAACTATAATTGTAGCATAAAATGCCCTAATGTTAACTTTCCGGTACGACTTTCGGTATGATTTCACATTTTTAGGTTTTTTGTGAACATGCATCGATGCTCGGGTTGGAGCAACTTGTCAAGCATGATTCAACCACCATTGAGAAAATACCCTAATGATAACTTTTCCAGCACGACCTTCGGTATGGTCTTACAATTTTTTTTCTGAACATAAATTGAGACTCGGGTTGAAGCAACATGTCAACCCTTATTTTTAACCATGGGTGAACTACGAATTTAGAACAAAAGACTATAATGCTAACTTTTTTGGTACGACCTTAGGTATGGTTTTACAATTTTTGCTTCTTTAAACATAAATCGAGGCTCGAGCTTGAGCAACGTGTTAAGCCTAATTTAACCACAGTTGAACTACGATTTTAGCACAAAATACTCTAATGCTAACTTTTTTACCTTCGATGTGGTTTTACAACTTTTAGTATATCTGAACATAAATCGAGGCTCGGGTTGGAGCAACGTGTCAAACCTGATTTAGCCACGTTTGAACTATGACTGTACTATATTGGTGGTCAAAATATTTTTACATAATCTAAATCGCTAGGTGATTTTAGCTTATTGAAATGATTTAGCCATGATTGAACTACAATATTAGCACAAAATACCATAATGCTAACTTTTTCAGTATATGATTTTACATTTTTTCTAAACATAAATCGCGATTCATATTGGAGTAACTTGTGAAGCCTACACCAATAGCATTCTCCCTAGTTTTGAATGGAAGTTATAATTCACAGACTAATCAAATAAGATTAAGGATTTAGTAACCATGTATCAAACAAAATCAAAGAGATAAAAAGTGTCAAAGCCTAATTCCATGATTTACCACCGAGCGGCAGCATGTGGAAGAGTTGACTCATCATGGCTGTTAGCAAAGGAAGTCACCGATGGCATAAGATAGCCACAGTACTCCCTTTATCACTTTAATTATATTAGAATTGAATGGAAGTTATAATTCACAGACTAATCAAATAAAACTAAGGATTTAGTAACCATGTATCAAACAAAATCAAAAAGATAAAAAGTGTCAAAGCCTAATTCCATGATTTACCACCGAGCGGCAGCAGCCAGCATGTGGAAGAGTTGGCTCATCATGAAAGTCACCGATGGCATAAGATAGCAAAACTCTTATGCTACGGTACTCCCTTTACCACTTTAATTATATTAGAACTTGCGAGACTAAGCACTAGCTTTAAATCTCCGAGGGATGAATGAAGAACTAACTAGATAGATCAGACAATCAAGAAAAGTGACTTGGCATACTGTGACGGCCATTAGAGTCATTTGATGAATGTCGACGGGCATGAGGACTATCTTGGGAACCCCACTACGACACTGTTGTATATAGCTCATCTAGTGTGAGGAAAATCAAAATTTGTCATAATAGAGAAGGAATAGAGTAGAGGTGAAGTGTTGAATTGGATTGGTTACCGTGGTAACAATATTAACAAGTAGCATGTGGTTAATTTGGTTTGGTTAATTTGGATAATTGGTTTGGTTTGGTTAACAATTTAGCTTATTTGGTTTAGGTGGTTTGGTGGCTTAAACACTGCTACCCAATGAAACCAATTAACCAATTAATGATACACCTAATATACAAAATTATTTATATTTTCATGCAACCAACAAAACCAAACTTTCGTGATTCCCTATTTTATTTTCATGTGCAAAAAAAACCAAAGCATTATGGGTCAAAAATTAAATGGGACTACCTATTTACTAAACTAATGATAGTCTTATTATTATTTCTTATATATAATGATAGTTTATGATAATAATAACATATGGTTATGTTTTATTCATTAACAGGATAATTGTTTTCATGTAATGTTATGTTATTTGGTTAATCTGATTATCCGATTAACCAAACCAATTAAACTTTGGTTTGGTTAATTGGTTTTCGTGTTAATTTGGACAGTTTGGTTAGAATATTTTATTCCATGGTTAATGAAATTTAGACTTAATTGGTTTGGTTATTACCACAATAACCATTTGAACACCCCTAAGTAGAGGGACGCAACATTAGAAAGAAAGATAAAATGAAGAAATTGAGCTAGATTTGCTCGGATACAATGTTGAAACAGTTGAATTCACAAAGAGGAAGTAGGATTGGGAAAGAAAAGAGAGCACTTCTACTATGCTATATAACATTGGTGCTTTAATGTACAACTCAAAGTTGTACCATAACATTAAATGTATAAGTTTAGGTTGTACCATAAAGCAATTTGTATCATTATGTTATGAAGTTGTACCATAAAGGCAAAAATCTATAGCATCAATACTATATAGCATTGTAAAATTTCTCAAGAAAAGAATCCAACAAATTATCTTGATCGCTTTTATATCCGAGCTGTTTTAACACAAGAAGAGAGAAGAGGGGCACTTGAAGGAATTTTACAATGCTATATAGTTTTGGTGCTATAGGTTTTTGCCTTTATGGTACAACTTCAAGTTGTACCTTTAACGTTATGGTACAACTTTAGATTGTACCTATACTTTTTGTACAAATTCTTTTATGGTACAACTTGAACTTGTACTTTTATGTGATGGTACAACTTCAAGTTGTAAAGTTGTACCAAAACATAATGGTACAAATTCTTTTATGGTACAACCTAAAATTATACATTTAATGTTATGGTACAACTTCAAGTTGTACATTAAAGCACCAATACTATATAGCATAGTAAAATTGCTCGGGCACTTGTTATGTATCTTTGACTAACTGATTACGTAAATTACAAACGAATACTCCTAATTTGCTAACTTGTCTTCACCGTTTTTAGTCTTCTGTAACTTTTAGGGCTGGTAAACGGTACGGTAACCGGTTTACCGTTTACCATTTTACCGGTTTCGGTATTACCGGAATTACCCAAGCGCCAGCCGAACGCCGATACCGGCAGGGCATCGGTATGCCGCTTACCGTTCCACTCGGTGTCGGTAAGTTGCACGGTATTACCGAGCCACCGTGAGTCCTATCCCTGTCCCTGTCCGCCTGTCCGCTGTCCGCCTGTCCTCTGTCCGCCTGTCATGACTCATGAGCAGCATACGAAAGCAAAAGGCAAATTGTAATGACTGCTCATTTCATGGACTTGCTATTATTATATTTAGGTAATGAGCAGGCAGCAGTCAAATTGTAATGCAAATGCAACTAAAGAAAACAATAAACATAATCCAGAGTTCCAGAGTGCCCCCCACAGTCCCGATGGCCAATTCCCATAGCATCAGGTCAACAGTCAACTGACTCGCTCGACCTCTCGATGTAACCAATTCTCCAAATCCAATTCCAATCAAAAGAAAATCGAGCTACCAAATGTCCAAATCATAGGGCTACCTCTTCAATGGACGGAGACCGGAGACCGCGACGGCGACGGTCTCAACTCTCACGTACAACGGACAGCGGCCGGCGATGAGAGGAACTTGCCGGAAACAGAGCCTGTCTTTGGGCTGCTGTGCTATCTGCTGCTGAGTCCTGTTCCCGGCGATGAGAGGAACTTGAACGGAGGAGGAGGGGTCGACGCCAACGACGAATCGTCGACGATGAAGTGAACGGAGGAGAAGGGATCGTCGATCGTGGACTCTTTCGTGGTCTTGCAAGTTGCAGCAGTCGGGGGCGGGCGTCGGTGAGACAGGGGAATTAGGATTTACTGATTTAGGATGGCAGGGGCAGTTAGTTTTGATCGACTAGGGCTGGGCTTTTAGGGTGGGGTGGCGCCGTGGCGGGCTTGACAAATCCCTTTACCAGTCGGTGTCGGATTACCGATTTGCCGGCGGTAAACTGATTGCCCGGTGCCGGCATACCGCCTGCCACAAAATCACTGCCGCTCACCGTTTTTTTCGGTAACCGGTTTAACCGGTAACCGCGACAACCGGTACGGTAACCGGTTAGACCGGAAACCGCAAAACCGTTTGGCAGCCCTAGTAACTTTAACGCTTTCGTCCAATTGATGATCATGATCAAATATACTTGATTGATGACCGACAAATCTGGCTTGCATATTTAACAGTGATTACTTAATTAAAATGGATAGCAACGTAACATATATAATACCAAGCAAGTAGCAGGAAACTTGCTTGCTAGCGGGCGTCATGAAGTGTGGATCCAAATGAATGCATGGTCCTAAAAGCAGGAGAGATGCAGCATATAAAAGAAGTAAATTCATTGGAAGCCTGGGATACCAAAGATTTGCCTGAAACATGGAGGATGCAGGAGCAAGGCCGGGGTATCATGATATCCATACCCGTCATGTGGCAAGTCGGGAACAAATTGGTAATTTATTATGGGTCGCAGGTCGGGACAGGTCAACTCAATAGGTATGCAATTTATATGAAAAATATGAAAAATATTCTTTAATTTTATTATAAAACCAAGAAAACAAAGCATATTATGATAAATGTAGTTAAATTATTTGAAAAATTGAGGTTTTCACTAATTTACAACTTTATTATAACTAAAATATGATGTGATAAAAGGAAAATCTTCAGTAATTTTACTAAGATCACATGTAATTTACGCAAGAATGGGTCGAGAATGGGGCGGGTCAGGGCAGATTGGGTCGATGAGAGTATTCATGCCCGCCCCGCCTCGCCTGTGGAGCTATCATTGCACTGATTTTTTTTTTTTTTTGCATTTGGAACTATCATTGCACTGATACAACTACCATTGCACTTGTATATTGAACTCACATTAATTACATTCCTTTATTTGAACTATCATTGTACTTGTATATTGAATGCACATTAATTACATTTCTTTATTTGAACTACCATTGCACTGATACAATTAACATTATACTGATACAACTACTATTGGACTCGGGAAAAAAGTAATTATTATGAATTTTTAATTCATACAAATTATTAATGCAATACAAATTAATTATCTTAAATGCCTATAATTAATAAAGAGGTCATTTTCCAACTCATTCAGAACTAGTATGCTAAGAAGTAGTAATATTTGGTTATCAATCCAATCTTGATCAGTACAATCATTTTAACTTTGTTTCAAGTTCACATAAACAGATTCTGCCTATAAAAAAACTACAATAATCATCAAACCTTACCTTGTTACAACCAAATGTACGGCCGGCTAGCTTCTCTTTATGAAATTAAGTATGCATGACCTCAAAATTGACAGAATGAAAAAGGCTGCTGCGATAGGTTCTCAATTCTGGGAGAAGCAGCAGTAATAGTAGTAGCTGCTGCAGGCGGCGTCTTGGTGGGAGCCCAGAGGTCGGCCCCGTTGGTGCGATCAATAGCGGCCGTGGCAGCCACGGGCACAACACACAACCCTCTGCTCCGGAGATCCTTCAGTGGCGCGGCGGCGGCCGTGAGGAAATAGGGAGCGCTGAGTACGTTGAGCTGGTCATGAAGGAAAGAAATGTAGTCCATTGCTTCCTGCAGAACAGAGGCAGTATCGGTTTTCCCGTAGGGGGAAACGAGCTGCTGCAGAGCCACGACCTTGTCACCCAGCTGCTTGTCTTTCCTGTCCCTGCCGCTGCAGGGCTTCAGTCGCTTGGCTGCCTCGCCGTCGCCGCGGTGGAGGAAGGAGCGTGGGCTCTGGCGTTTGTCTTCCAGCATCTTGGCGATCGAGGAATTGGAGGATTGCAATGTGGGTTTGGGCAAGGGAAGTAGTAGCTCAGCCTGGTCTGGAATTTTTTTTTTTTTTCCTCTCCGGTAATTCCTAGCCTGATGATTTATGGGATATGACAAATTAGTTAGAAAAGAGTAGAAATTAGACTAGACGAGCAATTGTCCAGCATTTCATAGCTAGCTAGATCGATCAGCAAAAGAAAAAACAGGGGACGGGGGTTGAGGTTACACAGCAATACGTACCGGTGGATTTAGATTACAGGTAGTGAGACCCGACGATAAGGCGATAACTTGTATAGTTGATTGACGCCTACCTACCCATGGCCATAAATCACGCTAGCAAAATGCGGATCCAAAGACTTGTGTTCTCGATCGTATGGAAAGATTAAGGCAGAAAAGGACATAAGTTGAGGACCCACGTAGACATGAAAGTCTATTCTTATAGTATCAAATTCAACGCGCTACACTTCGTACCTTGGGTAAAATCTAGGGTACGGCATATCCTAACTCCCTAAGTAGAAAAGCGCAATCTAGACCTCGATAAACCGGATTCTTGGGCATGATGCTATACACTAACCCTTGATGAGTGAACCATATGTCTTAGTTAATTATCTAAATCATAGAGCTTAAGCCCTAAGATTATGCATGTAATTTTTTGCATATATTTCGACGTATCATAACCGTCCATTTTTGTTTCTAATTAAATATATCTTAGTGTATGAAATTTATAGAATTAAGACCTAGATTTTAATCTTTAAGGTTTTGCTAATAGTACTAAATGCCAAACTTCGGTCAATTCAAGGTCTATGTATCATTTTCTTACCCAAGGCATGACATACCTTTGATTTTACTCAAGGTACAATAGAACCATCCATATATATGTATAATACACCCAAAAAAGCCGAATACGCCACCATATATATATATATATATATATATATATATATATATATAGTGGCGTATTGGGTGCACTCACTTTTTTGGGTGCATTCAGTGCAATCGCTTCATAGCCGAATAACGCACATGATTTTGCACAAAAACCATTGAAGATTTAATTTAATTTGAAGGATTTAGAGTTTAGAGATTTACGGGTCGTTTGCTTCATGGATTTGAAAAATGAGGGTTTTGGAAAACCATGGATATATGATGGATTTGGTGGCATTATGGATTTGAACAAGTCTATTGTTTGTTTGATGGATTTGATTATGGACTTTGTTTGATTAGATTTGTGGATATTAAATACAAATTACCTAGTTACCCTTATTTAATTATATTTCTATATTCTAATCCAAATCTTTCATTTAAAACTAATCCATAACATAGAAAGAAATTTTAAACTCTTTACTACTATGTGGATTAATAATTCAACTACAAATATAGAAATGTATTACAATTTGGCACTAATTAACAATTCATCTAATAATGTATGCAATATTATGTATCAATTGCAGCCAATTGCTCGCTTTATTGCTACAACTCATCATCTTCTTGCTAACTCACTGATGTGGAATCCGACAATCAATCAAATAATAATGTACAAGATGAGCATAAAGTGTTTCTAGGTGAATCTAACAAATCACATATACATTCATATTTAAATAAAATACGATATTACAAAATGAAATGATAAATTCTCATATTTATAAAATACGAAATTATAAAAGTTTACAGTTGCATGACCATTGAATGACCATTGAATTAAAGTAGGACAAATTTGTAATTAAAGAAATAATTAAGGGTAGAAAGGTAATTTACCATCATGGATTTTAATCCATCACCCCAAATCCCACCTTAAGAGGTGGAACTTCCAAGTCCGTGGGGTCCACGGATTTGGAACCCTAAAAGAGGTGGGCCCCACAAATTCCATCTCCCTAATTCCTTAAGGCAAACGATGAATTTCGGTTCAAGTCCATGATGGATATATTTCCATGACCAAATCCATCACCAAAACCCTCAAGCAAACGACCTTAAGACTGATTCTACAAATTTGGGTTAAAATTAGGGTTAGGGTTTACAATTTGGGTTTTAGGGATAGAACTCAAAATTGGAGGTCTAGGGCTTAGGGTAATCAACTAATTAGTTGGTATCATATGTTATATCATCATATTACACTGATTCTACAAATTAAAATTAAAAATCCGACACCTTAAGACTAGTTTTTGAGTTGGGTGCATTGAACGCACTCATTTTTGTGAGTGCACCGAAGTAGTCACCATATATATGGTGGTGTTTTCAGTGCACTCACTTTTTGGGTACATTCAGTACACTCGCTTCATAACCGTCGTTTTAAACATGCAATTTATGTCAAAATGATGTCAATCATCACTTATGGTGTGATGAACAATAACACACATGAATTTGCACAAAAACCATTAAAGATTTACTTTAATTTGAAGGATTTAGAGTTTAGAGATTTAGGGTTAGGGTTTACAATTTGGGATTTAGAGATAGAACTCAAAATTGGAGGTCTAGGGCTTTGGTTAATCCGCTAATTAGTTGTTATCATATGTTATGTCATCATATTACACTAAATCTAGAAATAAAAGTTCAAAATCCGACACCTAAAGACTAGTTTTTGAGTTGGGTGCATTGAACGCACTCATTTTTGCGAGTGCACCAAAGTAGTCACCATATATATATATATATATATAGGGTCAGACTGGCGTATGTCAGGCATATACTATACGTCAGGTACTACTAGTGAGATATCTCTATCTAGACCGTGAATTAAATCGAGTTTGGGGTATGATACTATACCCTAACCTCTAATGGATAAACCCCAGACATCGATTTTCTAAACCCCAACCCGAAGTTTGATTTAATGAAAAACAAAAATTGACCGTTGAGATCGACCAGATCTCATCTAAGTATATCTAGCGGTTAGAACACCTACTGTATACTATACGCCTGACGTACACCAGTCATTACCATATAATGGTTGAGACTGGCAACAAACTAGTTACGATAGCGATTCGGCTCATTGTTTGGATGGTTATTGATGGACCAAACGACGCGTTTTTGAGGCGTTTACCTTTCAATACCGAGAAAGTAAGAAAGTATGTTGAGTTTTTTCAACTAAAAAACATCCTGTAACCAGTTTGTGAGGCGTTGAATTCTCTCACTGTTGTCCTTTATTTTTTTTTTACCAGTACTGTCATCCTTTGTTACGATCATATCATCCACATAAATTAACAATGTTATCATACCTCGACTGGAGTGAATTGTAACAATGATTGATCGTTCAAGCCTTTGAAAATTGTACAAAACAATCACCAAAAGTTTAATTTGTAACGACACGGTTACAAAACTTTGAACTTGTATGAAATGGTCACACTGTTCAATTTGTGGCCATTTTGTTCTACGTATAAATTTATGTTACCATATCATTACAAATTAAAGATTTGTGACTATTTTGTACTAAGTATAAAGATTTGTGACCATTTATGCTAATTATCCTCAATCTCCCATTCTGTTTGGAGGAATACCTATATTGCATGATTTTTTTTTTTCTAATTATAACCAAACAAAAAATTAAAAGCTAAAAGGCTTATTTATTCAACACGAATTCTTCATTGTGTAGCTTAATTATCTGTTGACCATCGAAAAGAAAAGAAACGTTGTTGTAAATCAATCATTCGCTTCAAACCTGAAGGGAAAAAGAGATGAACAAGGAGAGAAAATAAAAAAAAAGACCCGAGAGAGAAAATTTAGCAAGGGGAAAAGCCAGAAAATCAAACATTTTCCCTGTGTACAAAGGTAGATTCAATTGGCGTATCACACACATTTTCCCTTTGCAGGTTGAGTATTACATTTTGGATTGATCACATGTTGGATTCAGCATACGTTGAATGAACATTACCTATGTGTAACCCCAATCAAAAAAATGTTTGATTGTGGTTACAGATCACGCTTCAAAGTTGGCGGGCATAACGAAAAATTCGTAAGGTACGATGCAATAACTCCTTCCTTCATTACTCATGTCTTCAATGCAGCATTGATCTTGGGGAATGAAAATGCCTTATATCTTTCGCTTTTTCTAACATTTTAGGTTGGACGATTTGGACTCAACAAACTCACCAATGAATTCCAGTGCAATAACAAGGAAACGGGTTCGTTTCAACCTGAAAGGAGCCCTCTTTGGTGGAAGGAGACCTAAGTATTCATCCAAGTCGCTAAGATTTGGCGTAAAGAGAGGGTCGGAGAACCTGCTAACGATAGGACGATCCCTCAAGAGCAATGTCACGCGTGCCGTGTTCCCCGAAGACCTTAAGGTCTCAGAGAAAATGATTTTCGATCCACAGGACACCTCGTTGCTGTTATGGAACAGGTTGTTTGTGATTTCTTGCATCATCTCGGTGTCGATCGATCCACTCTATTTTTACCTCCCTGTGTTTAACTACACGATGAGTTGCCTTGGGATGGACACGCAGCTGGCGAAAACCATTCTTACTGCGAGGACCGTGCTCGACATCTTCCATTTGCTTCGCATGGCTCTCCAGTTTCGAACTGCGTTTGTTGCGCCGTCGTCCAGGGTTTTTGGGAGAGGTGAACTTGTTATAGATCCTGCACAAATAGCTGCCAGATATCTGCAACGCTACTTCATTGTCGATTTCCTCTCCATTTTGCCCCTCCCCCAGGTACCTGTTGGATGTCTTCGATGCATACATATCAGCCCCTTTTTTATACGCATAAGGATGTGTTTGTTCGTTTGCATAATAGCATTACCAATATGATCACCTCTCCCAAATACACAAATTACCACTCCAAACCATCCTGAATGATTTCTGTATCGTATCTGTGTATGCAGATTGCAGTATGGCAGTATCTGCACACGAAGAAGAAGGGATCAGAAGTGTTGGCCACAAAACAGGCGCTGCTGTACATAGTGTTTCTTCAATACTTACCAAGGTTTGCCCGCTTCTTCCCTCTCATATCAGACCTGAAAAAGACAGCCGGTGTGTTCGCCGAGAGTGCCTGGGCTGGTGCAGCCTACTACCTTCTATGGTACCTTCTTGCTAGCCATGTAAGCATTTACCATATCCCTCACCTGTTGAGAATGTTCTGTTACCTTACATTTTAGAAAGAATAACAATTTGGCTGGGGATGGCAGATAGCAGGGGCATTCTGGTACCTGCTTGCAGTGGAGAGAAAGGACACGTGTTGGAGGAAAGCATGCATTGAAAGCGGGAAGTGCAATATAGACTACCTCTACTGTGGGAACAAGGTGCTGCCAGGTTTCCATAAATGGAGAAGAATCAGTGACAAGATGCTAGGGAAATTATGCAGTGTCGTTAACGATAACTCTGAGTTCAACTATGGCATCTACACCCAGGCCATGTCTTCTGACATTGTTGGTTCCAGGGTCTTCGTCTCCAAGTTCTTCTACTGCTTGTGGTGGGGTCTCCAGAATTTAAGGTATCAACATTCCATCTCCTGAAAATGGAAAAAAAGAAATCGTTACAAAACAGTTGAGGTGGTTGAGATGTTGAATTCATATGATTAAGATCTCCGAGTTCGAATCAAGTGATCTTCCATGGATACTTCCATTGTTTCCCCCCCTCCTTTTCAATAAAATGGATTAATGGCTGGTGTCTCTTTCTTTTTTGTTTCATGCAGCACGCTCGGACAGGGTCTGCAAACCAGCACCTATCCTTTGGAGGTTATCTTTTCAATTTCATTAGCCATTTCCGGGCTCATTCTCTTTGCTCTTCTCATTGGAAACATGCAGGTGGACAAAAAAGCTCTATGCCATCTCTTGCTTACACTTCAGATTTAAATCGAAAGTTGCGATAATATTGGAATGTACTGAGTTCTTGGCTCCAATTTGGTTTGGCAGACTTACCTCCAGTCTTTAACTGTTCGCCTAGAGGAGATGAGGATCAAAAGGCGAGATTCAGAGCAATGGATGCATCACCGGCTGCTACCACAGGACCTGAGAGAAAGGGTGAGAAGGTACGATCAGTATAAATGGCTTGAAACTCGGGGCGTTGATGAAGAAACACTAGTCCAGAGTCTGCCAAAAGATCTTAGACGAGACATAAAGCGCCATCTTTGTTTGAACTTAGTCAGAAGGGTAAAGTAAACTAATTTGTCAGTGTTTTTTCCAGTCATTGAGTGTGGTTGTTTTGGCTGAAAAATAAGTCATCATCCAACCAAACATGCCTTATTCGCAGGTCCCTCTATTTGCCAATATGGACGAGAGGTTGCTTGACGCCATATGTGAGAGGCTAAAGCCAAGCTTGTACACAGAGCACACTTACATTGTAAGGGAAGGCGACCCAGTCGACGAGATGCTCTTCATCATTCGGGGCAGGCTGGAGAGTGTGACGACAGACGGTGGAAGGAGCGGGTTTTTCAATCGAGGGTTGCTGAAAGAAGGCGACTTTTGTGGAGAGGAGCTCCTGACTTGGGCATTAGACCCCAAATCAGCAGGCAACTTGCCTTCATCGACGCGAACAGTAAAAGCACTGACGGAGGTCGAGGCATTCGCACTGGAAGCTGAAGAGCTTAAATTTGTTGCCAGTCAGTTCAGGCGACTTCACAGCAGGCAAGTGCAGCACACATTCCGTTTCTACTCGCAGCAGTGGAGGACGTGGGCAGCTTGCTTTATTCAAGCTGCTTGGAGAAGATACTCGAGGAGGAAAGCTGCAGAGACTAGAAGGCTGGAGGAGGAAGAGGAAGAGAGGGAAATGTATATGAACTATTATGATGATGATTATGAAGATGATGATGATGATGACGATGATGATGAGGAGTATGGTGATGAGGTTGCGCTGGTAGGGGCAATGGAACACTCCTCCAGCTTCGGAGCAACAATCCTGGCATCTCGATTTGCAGCGAATGCACTCCGTGGCAGAAAGCTTCGAAGTACATCGTTGATGAATCTGCGAAAGCCCCCTGAACCTGATTTCAGTTCAGATCATTAACTACAGGGATGCCTAATTAGTTTGGTCGGTTAACCAAAAACCAGATAGCCGAACATTACGGGAACGGTTAACCACTTAAATAATCAGTTAAGTGGTTTGACTTTCAGTTAAGAAGAACAAACTAAACCAGGTATCCACCCCTGAATTTTGAGTCAAATACAGACGTCCGTTTTTCTTTGCCTTTGTTTTCCTTATGTAAATGGAAATTGTACCAGTTGTGCACTACTACTTGTTTAGAGCAAGTTTGTACGCTGTAATTTTGATTGCCTTCTTTTTTTGTAACTAAATACAGTAGTCATGAGAATAAGTCAGATCCACTAACCTGTCTAGGAAGAAATTAATGATGAACGTCTCTGGAGCATCTTTCTTCAGATCTTTACATTCCAGAATCTCACTCTATCTCTAAAAACAAGTAGAAAGTTTAATTAATAACACACGATAGTACACCAAGCAGTAGAATCTCTCAGCCCTTCCATAAGTGAATAGCTGAAAGGAAATTGCTGATTTTATGATCACGCTTCCAACCGTTGCAGAGACTCTTCAGCTAACCGAGGATTAGACTTAAACAGAATCAGAATAGGAAAGACTTACCTTTTTTCCCAACTCTGATATTTGAAGCCTCTTAAGGAAAGCTAAACAAACAGTGCTGACCATTACTAGAGTTAAGTTCGGTATGATTGTGCACGAAATGAGAACACAAAAGATAATTTTGTAGCATTTTCTGGAAGTCCAAGCATCCTGTACATTCTCAGGGGAAGATAAGCCCCCTGCTTTTCAGCTTTCATCATAGACCAGATCATATGAGTAGCGGATCAATGAATGGAAAACAAGTGTTTTAACTCTACACTGAAAATGAATATCCGACTACCCTTTCGCTTGACCTTGCTTACAGAAAGGGACGTTTTTTGTTTCTTCAGTCACTGTCATAGTTGTCCAGTGAATATCTTATGCTGGCTAGCTGCTAATCAAGTTCGCCATTCTGAAGAGGCTTCCAAATCAACATCTTCTTCCCACCAAGTTGCAGCCTGCAGATAGCAGTCATTAAGGTAAACCAAAATCAAAATGAAAGAAAACAGACAGTTGGTTTGCTGCATAACTTTTGGAAGGGCCATGGAGCAACCATGTGAGACCTATATCTGAAATATATGAATGTGTAGATGCTCCTCATAAACAAAAAAAAATATGCAACTTTCTGCTTCTGAGTCTAAGAATGGACGAGCTAGAAGGAGGGAGAAAGTCTCAGATCAAACTACTAACAGTGAACGTTTCTACCGTGCAATGTGTCATTCCAGTACCATTACAAATGTTCCCAGAGAAACAACTCATGTCCCATCCAGAGGCAACGCTAAAGTAAAATAAAGTGTCTTGCAACCAAGCTTGATCATTTAGTTACCTTATAGCCTCTACGAAGAAATTGCAATTGGCTTCCCTGCTCCTCTTGAAGCCCCAGAACCCTCAACAGTTCTTCTTTTGTCTGGATTGAATAGTCCAAAAACACATTATACATAGTGTGATGCTCCAACTGAAGCTTTTACAGTTAAGGAGAATGTATACCTCCCCAAGTGTGAAGCGTGTACTACTCTCTGCTACACAAGCATAAGAACCATCTCCCTGTTTAAGCATAACCTGCCATGGCCCTAAAGACACCATCAGTTAGATGAAAGCAACGGAATGTGAGGATGAAAAGGTAACATTTCTGTGACTTAGGCAGGTAAACCACAATATGCAAGGGCCATAGTGCAAGTTCAATAACAATTGAGTGGCTGCAGAATTTCTGGGAAACCCAAGAAACTCCTTAATTGTGTCATTCTCTCCAAGCTAATACAAGAAGAAAACCAAGACACTTTGAAATAAGCTGGAATAAGCATCAACAAATAACATGACCAGACAATCCACTGATTCAAATAAAGCTAAATAATTCATCCTCATTTGTCATTGAATATCTTTTGGTAGAATGTAAACTAACAAGCATAGAAAAATCTCAATTACCCATTATGAAAACAGACAGCCTTCATTCAGGTACAAACAAGCAAAAGGATATTGCAGAGCCAGAATATGAAAATAACGAAGATGCAGGGTAAGACAGGTTATTAAAACTAAATAAACTACTTTCCGTACCAGGGTATTGGCGGAAGAGAGCGCCACTGTAGTTGACAATGTACGGTGCTACTGCTACTGTCTTAGATGAGTAACAACATCAGGTTATTCCAGTTCAAATCATAAAACAATAAGTTAATGAAGAAATCATTACCTTTGAGTAATCTCTAGTTCGAATATAGAAGACTGGAACAAATTGAGATAGAAAACGATAATGCAAATCTTTTGTTGGAAACCCCAGGAGACCCAAGTCAGCACTGTAAAGAGTGAAGCTTTTAGTCACTTAACAAAGTAGATAGAACCACTAGCGGAATATCATAGGATAACACATAACTAGGAAAGGTAAAAGCTATATACCGTAATGTATCAAGTTCGAGATTAAACAAAACTGTTGGTGTCGCAGCAGCAAATTTCTCCTGCATGTTCCAATCAGCTATTACCATTCGCAACTTGTGAACGTGTAGGGAAGCTAATATGTATTAAGGATACGATGGGGACTGCACTATATATCATAACAGATGATTCAGTTCTTAAAGACCATAAACCATGATTTGGAACTGCCACAAGAGAAGAAAGGAGATGCAAAAGGTACCCCCAAGAAAGGGGGTTTGGAACAAGGTATGAAAAGATGCTACAGGAAATGACTTACCACATACTTCTCTATGGAAGATAATTCACGTGTGCTACAGTTAAGAAACAGAAAAATCGAAGGTGCCTCATTTGACTCCCAGCGACCTGAAATAGGCAAGAATGAGGAAAAGGGCATGCACCAACTCAAAGCGTAAATCAAATCGTTTGTAGAGGAAACAGCTCCAACTAAATAATTCAAGCAGGAAACAATTAGCAACATATGAACTAATCTTAGTGCTTTACATTTCAGAACTAACCTTCATTATCATCTTCAAAATCAAAATCTAAGGTGCTCCTGATAGACCTAAAAAAAGTGTTTACGGGACCACTCGGGAGATCATCAAGTGAACCAACAGTTATACCTTCAATCTGCAAGCAGATTCAACATGTAAATGGTACAAAATAATTATTGCAAACAAACAGTTTGATAATTTCTGCATAACTTCCAAGGAATGGCCACTGAGAGAGTGAAAAGGTACAGCCGGAAGTTTCACCAGGGGATGAGATAGTTTTAAACTCCCAACATGGAAATAAATAAGACAAGGCAGTAACTCAATTTCAGAACTATTAAACTTGTTCTAGAGACTCCCAACAAACAATGTTTGATTCCCTACCAACAGTGACACAAACAATTATGTGCTGCATAATTTGTACAGTACAACAGGCGGAAGACTTTCTCCCTGATTGCAGCCGACATCAAGAACCAACGTTGACTAATATCCAACGGTATGGAGATTCAAGAAAATAACTTCACAATAATGTCACAGAATGCATTACTGTACCGAGTCGATAGCCGTTCGGAAAAGCTGAGATGCCCTGCGTTTTTCTGGCTTGTCGGGGAACACCTGACATTCAGAATCATAAGTAAAAGGCTGTTTTCTATCTGAGAAAATATGAAATAACATTGGGTATGGAAGGTTTTATTCTTACAACGCAAACTCTCATTTCCACCTTCTCTTTGAGCTTCTTGATGACAGTCAATGCAAGTTGAATATTGGCATCGATGAAATCATCTGAGGATCCCTTCACATGTTCAGGTACTCAACATCAAAAAAATTGTTTTCTCTCTCTTCCCCATGGTTCTCACTTAGGATTATTGGGGTATCAATGTTGCACATGGTACAAACAGCAAACAGTTACAGTGCATGGAAATCACACAAATGGTTAAGCATCATGAAGAGTTAAGGACAGTTGAAGGGACTCTTTAAATGCATAAAAAGGTACCTTGTATGTAGAAATGTTGCTAGGCAAGGGCCTGAAATGCAGGCAAAACGGACAAAATACCATAACAATGAGTTTTCAAGCAGAGAACCCTATTATTAGCTATTAAAAGAGACGAGATGAACACGAAATCGGACTTACGGGAACTCAATTTCCAATCTCTTCTTGCCGTCCTGAATTGCGAATGCCAGAGAATTGGCGGCATCCGTGAGTAGCACCTCGTAGGACTTTGGTTTGTAGACGGCAACGCCGCGCTTGGGATCGTAACCGCTACTCTGAGCAGCAGCAGAAGCTTGAGCTTCGCTATACCGCCGTCGGTCCAGCCATCTGATCCGTCCCCCTCCGCTTCGCTTTCGCACCAGCGCGGCTGGGGTCGAAGGAGCGCGACTCGGGAGTTTGAATTGGAAGATAGAGAGGTTGGATCGAGACGACGAGATTGAGTGGAGCGAGGACGCCATGTTTAGAAGCGCCATTGCCGCTTCAGTGAGCTAGTCTGGTTTCGTATCGAGTCAGTGGCGCGGTGGTGATCCTATGTGGATTAGATATCGTTGGCATTCTCAAGCTGGTTGTGATTTGTGAATTTTAGGATATTGGTCATTCAATTTAACATTCATTTTATCTTTTACTAGATAAATTGTCAGCCATCTTGAACACCGCAGTTAGCAGTGAACATATATAGGGCTGCAAATGAGCCAAGCTACTCGCGAGCAACTCGAGGCTCGAATCGGGAAAAACTCGTTCGAAACTCGATTCGTTTACTGACGAGCCAAGCTTGAGCCTAGCTATGTTCAGCTCGTGAAGCTCGCGAGCTAGCTCGACTCGGTGGCTTGTTGAGCTCAACTCGTGAGTTAGCTCATTTAGAGCTCATGAGATGTCTCAACATTGTGGTTTGAGGGCCAACTTGATCACTGACTTATGGACTAATCGATCTAATTTGGACTTTCATAATTCATAGGATTGTTAAATTATATATCTCACATCATGTGAAGTTTAACATGTTGAACATGTAAGAAAATATGCCTTATTTTTAACTCTATAAAGAAATTATGTAAAAAATTATTTCGATACTATGAAATAACATGATTTGAACTAGTTAAAATTTATTAACTAAACAATATGACACCTAAAAATTATAATATAAGATTAATTAATGTTGAACATTTGATTATTTTTTTATCACTACATCAATCACATGTACCATACACGACATACAAAATGAATGTATTAAATACGATCTAAGAATTTAGTAAACAAGCCTAACTCGAACTCGACTCGACTCAGCTCGTTAATAAATGGCTCGGGCTCGAGCTCAGCTCATTTGTTTAACGAGTCAAGCTCAAGCTGGGGTAAAACTCGGCTCAGCTCGGCTCATTTGCAGCCCTATAATTAATTTGCATTAGAGACTAGGGTTGATTTGGTTTTGGTGATAGTTAAATCGATAATGTTATTAATACATGCATAATAATATACATGTATATAAGAAAATTGGTGTATTGTAGTTTACATTGTTTGGTTTCTGTGATAGTTATTGTAGTGTTTAAATAAATTATATTACTTTATGGGTGAAATATCATTTGTATCCTTTGTTTTAGTATAAAAAAGCAACACATAGAAAAAGGTAGGGACATAGTTGGTAGAAGAAAAAACACACAACAATCTCAATCAAACAATCTCAACCAAAACTTTTGAGTGATAGTTTGTGTCACATCAAGCAAACAATGCATGTATTGTTTGTGTAATAAATTTAAAAAAAAGATGTATTGTGAACATTGCATGCATTGTAACTATCCCAACCAAACTATCACTAAATCCAAACGACACTTAAATTATTTTTTAATGGAGTTTGATCTCTATGTTCAAACTTCAAATTAATTATTATTTTTTAAAACTAAAACAAATACCACTTTGTATTCTATTCTTCATGGAGAATTTTGAGACTATCGTAAGAGATTCGTCATTCAAAAAATTTGTTTGATGCATTGCCGGACATTGAAATAAATTTGAATGAATGATTTTATAGGTAGAAAAGAAAAATTCATAAGAATACTCATAAAAAAATAATCAAAATTAGAAATGATAACAGGTCGGATCAGAGACGGATAGTGACTATCCATTATCCTATTATAATTAGTTTGGGTTTTTTTATACTCATACACTTGCAATATTCGGGTAGTAAATTAAACCATACTCATACACAATCGAGAATGGGTAACAGCAGATAATATTTTTTCTTTATTTTCTGAACTATTGCGTTACTAATCACAAGAACATTAAGATATCATAGTGAAAAGTTATAAATAAAAAATGAACATTAATTCATGAGATGCTACAAATATAATAAGAATACTAATTATGTTAAAATAAAATGACGATTTATAGAAATTTTGTAAATGCATGTATAATTGGGCGGGTTCATATCGAGACTTCTGTCATTTAACCGGACTCGAACGGTCCTCTCTTCCTTAGAACTGCCATTGGCTTCTGACCCATTTGTCACAGCTAGCCACATATGTCATAGTTGAGTATTATGTGAATCAAGCAACGAGGTAGAAATATGTGTTGAGCGTGTAAAAGCGGAACCTTGTAGCTGCAGGACATATATCATACCTACAAGAGAACCTCTAGGCACCTTAAGAACTCCACCCGAGCTCCATATATGCTCCCAAGCAGTGGCAGAGCCACTTGGAGAGGAGGGGGGCTTGCCCTTGGGTTTGGGAAAAAAATTCCCAAGTAGGAATATATACAAATTCGAACCAGTGGCCATTTAGTTGGAAGAAGAATTTTTTACCATCTCGACCGAGTGAGTTTTGTTATGCAATGCACTTTCTTCTTTATTTATAGTAATAAATTGTTGTCTTTTGTTTAAACCTGCTCATTTCTTTTGTAGATCTACAGCAGAGGAATTTCTTGTCTTTTGTTTAAACAAAGCTGAAAGTGAAGAAGTACCCATTGAAGATCACTTGTTTGTTTCACAAAATCAATTCCGATGTACTTCTAAGTTCTAATTTGTAATAGTTGATGAATGGAAGTCTTGACTTGTATGTACTGATCTTATTTATTTGACGTTGTAACCGGTGTACGTGAAACTATTTTTATGTAATTGTATGAATTTAGAGTATTGCGTTGTTGACTTTTTGTTTAATTTAGAGTTGACTTTTCTATTATATAGGTAATTTTTTATGATATGATTCCCCCTTGGCCAATTTTCTGGCTCCGCTATTGCTCCCAAGAGACTCGAAGAGTTTTGACAACTCCATCATGAAGATGCATTTCAATTGTACAATACCAAGAACTTTGTAAGGATCATCATTTCTCATTAGCACAACACAAGAATTAACAGGTTTAAGGGTTTTAAACTCGATTTTATTGGGACAAATATAAAAAGTACATGCAGAATAAATGACCAAAACATATGAATTACTACCATCATAAGAAGAAATTATTGTCAAACATTCATCATTGGAATTGTTGTTGACAATACTAGTTTCTCCCGCTTAAGAAGCCTTTTGAGATTTTCTTTTTCTTCTTTGGCCTTTAATTTGAACAATTGAAAATTTCATGTCCATATTTGCGACAATAGAAGCAATACTTCCCATCCTCGGATTTTCGATCATGTGACTTGAATCGAGGTTTAGCTTTACCTTTGTTGGATTCTCCTTTTTCTTTGGATCGACCTTTGTCATTAGAACTGGACTCAAAGTCAAAATTTTCTTTTGAAAGTAAGTTAGATTTCACATCCTTACAAGACAAAGTATCTAGATTTTCATAGAGCATGATCTCTTTGAAGTGTTTAAGGGACTAAGGCAACAAGCATATTAACAAAACAACCTTTCAATTTTCACGTCATTATTTTTCAAGTCCATAACAATGAAATTGAAGGTAGAAAGATGGGTTTGAATCGGAGTACCTTAAGTCATACAATTAATGTACAACTTATCTTTTAAAAGAAGCTTGTTAATAAGACTTTTCGACATGTAAAGTGACTCTAATTTTTTTCAAAGTCCAATTGTAGTAGTTTCAAGACAATCTTAGCAGCCAAAGCAATGCAATTCTGACGACGACACCATCTGCTCTCAACAATATTGTCTAAAAACAAGGCAGAGGTTTGGGAAAAATCCAAGGCAGATGTGTTGACCCATCGCGGGCATGCAGCAGGGCGAGTCACTGACTTGTTCGACGAGGTAGGGCGTGGATTTAGAGGTACCACCTCATGTTACCCCATTTCCATCTCTATGCAAAAATGATTTTGACATGCATAGTTGAATAGCAGTAGGAGTCATTTCATTGAGCTCTTCCCATTGGAAATCAGTCAACGTCTATGGTTTGGCTTCGGGACCAAGTAAAGTCTTTTGAACATCGCTCTGCGTCAAAATTTCCTTCATTTGAATTATCCATATTGTGATTGATATCTTGCCATCAAAGCTTAATGTCAAACTTTGTAGTCATCTTGTCGAGGATTTCAATTGATTGTCAATGCTCTTATACCACTTTTTGTCACTTAAGAATTTTTAAATCTTATAAAAGAGCACTAGCGGAACAAAACCCAATATGAGGACGAAAAAGAAAAATAGAGAAGATAAAGAACAAAAACAAAGAAACCAAATTTATGTGGAAACCCTCCAAAGCGGAGGGAGAGAAAACCACAGATTGGACAAGCTAGTAAATCCACTTTGATCAATGAATAATATTCAAAGTACAAAGTTGTCTAGCAAGTAGAAAACTACCAACAGAAAGCACTTAATAAGATATTCTAAAATCTAGGAGAATGCAAGAGTTGGAAGAACCGGTGTGTCTCTCCAACAACAAACGACCTCAATTTACAGCCTTACAAAGTAGCTTATGAGACGCTAATAGAATTATGAAAGACACTCATTAATCTAAGTGAAACTATACATAATTCATCAAAGTAGTTACTCACATAACTCCAAGTCTTGCATTAAATTGAGGCATTAAACCAACAGGTTTCTAGACAGCAACGCCACACTTGGGATTGTAATCTCTACTCTGAGCAGCAATAGAAGTTGAGCTTCACTATACCGCCTTCAATCTACCCAACGCAATTGAGGACTAAGGAGCGCGACTAGGGAGCTACAATTGGGATCAAGTGGAGAGAGTGGACTTGATCACATTCATCCATGCAGATTTTTGTCAGTGGTTAGCACGTGTCAACCACTACCCCATCCTAGGCCAAGTTTAACTTAAGATAGCATTGTCGTATAGTGGCAATCAAGGTCGTATTCTACTCGGGTCCTGTAATGTTCAAGTCAACTCCATTATCTCTACTATACAATACTACTTCCCACTCTATGAGCAGGCGATATATCACTCCCAGTATATATGGACTAAGTTGTGTTGGTGAAAAAGCACACTAGCCATTGCAACCATTTCCCAAACATATCCACCCATCACCTCCGATCCTGACTACCAATAACAACCACTGCAGTTTTATCCTTCTTCGTCCGCTTTGTCACCATCTCTACTCTCCTCGCACCTTTATCAGCTCAGCATTAGCCGCCCTTTCTGGAATTGCACTAGTGGTGTCTCTTTCTCCCCCCTCCCCTGTCTCTCTCCCCTCTCTCATAGATATAT